TATAATGTTCCATTGTTAGAACCTGCTGTGTGATAAACAGTCTCAACTACACCAAGGTCATCAATGGACAGGTGAAAATATTCATTGTCATTGCAGATTCTACATGTATTCTAGTTACCTGTCGGACACATAACCGAAAGGTCATGGGTGGGTGGTTGGCGGATGCTCTGATGTGGTTTGCTCCTTCTTTCCTACTTTTATCATCCTCATCTCTCCTCGTTCTTTTTTGTGTATGTTACTCGCTTGTAACACATCTATTATTCGGCACTTATGTGACCTCATTGTGTTGCAAGTGCCGTAAAACTTTTGCTAAAACTAAAAGATCATAGGTTTGATCCCCACCAGGGGCCAAGTGGTGTGTCCCGGGGAAAGTACTTCACACGAAATTTCGTCACTTTTTAGTTTTAGTAAGAGTTTTACGGCACTTGCAACACAATAAGTGCCGAAGATTAGAGGTGTTACAAGAGAGTAAAAAATCCAAAATCGGAGGAGAGGTCAGGACGATTGAATATGATTGATAGGAAATAAGGAGCAAACCACGCCAGAGCACCCGCCAACCACCCACTTTTCATAATTTTTTCCTAGGTTGGAATGGGTACACGCCCGTACCGAAAGTGTCTGTTAATATGGTAGTCTTTTAATTCTTGTAAAATAGTAGGAAGTTGATAATATTGTTTCGGAATGCTATCAGGTCTGCTGGGGTAATACTAAGACTCGAATGTTGTAGAGTGGTTAGGGCTTGCTATTGAGTCATCATAATTTGTTCTCTACAAATGCTATTTATAGACGGGATCAATGGGCCTGGCCAGAGGGCGTGGCTAGAGTGCTTAGTTGAGAACGTGACAGTACAACTAGGTAAATTATGGGAAATAGCCATGACGTTTCCAGGCAGATCCGCGTCGTGTCCATCTGTAGCAGGATGAGAAGCAATCTGCCGCAATTTGCGGTGACTCGTTAGCTTGTCCCTGTTTGCCTATACTGTGGCTTTGAGGAGAAGCTTATCCGCAGCTTGACCGTTGGGAGCGAATGGGGAATGGGGGGGGGGAGCGATCGACTGACCTGGCCTTGTTATCGACCAGGTCCCGGGGGGAGGAAGGAACCGCTCAGTCACTCAATGACTTTGTGGTCGTGCCACTCCCTAGTCTTTGTTTTGGTTAGTTTATGTAAGAGTTTTACGGCACTTACCACACAATAAAGTCATATAATTGCCGAAGATTAGACGTGATATAAAACGGTAACAAACACAAAAATGAAGGAGGGGAGACGATAGATGTTTGATTGGAAAGAAGAAGCAAACCACACCAACCACCCATACTCTTAGTTTAGTTTTTAGTAAGAGTAGTACGTCACTTGCAAGGAGGAGAGATCAGAACGATAGGTGTTTGACAGGATAGAAGGAGCAAACCACTCCAGAGCACCCGCCAATAAAACACCCGCCCCACCCCACTGTTCGATATATCCATTTTTGATACATCATTTGAGTTTCGAATATGTGGAACTCATTAAGTGACAACGCAATAAATGCTCGATGGTGTTCAGAAGTTAACCGGTTTTTGGGGTTTTTTAATAGTTGTGTCCTTGATAAATAAATTACCCCTTTTATTTGCCCTAATCGGAAGAATGTTTTCTGTAGTGTCGTTTTAGAAAACTTGAAGTGAGTTGGGACAAATCTGCTTTACGTTGGTCGCCACAGTCCAATGCCCTGTTGTTGTTTTTTACCTGGGTTCAACGTGCTTTGCTCAAGGACACACACCAGTGACCGCTTGTCAATAATCCATGATCACATGACGTAGCCTGAAATGGTCCTGTCTGGGAGTTCACTCATATTACCCATAACGTCATCTATGAAGCCTCTTTATATTATGTGCAGTTTGTCTTGCC